TCTATAGGACATCATGAGAAAAGTTCTTCTAAAAATGTATACTTATTATTTAAATCCACCCTACTCCATCATAAGAGTACATTAATACTGTGTTTTCAGTACCTTATACTATAAGCATTCATATTTTTCTATGGCAAAATATGAGAATAAGCAAGATTTTTAAAGCAATTAAGAGGATATAAATGCTGTGCACTGCAAGAGCACAGTTCTCAGAAGACCAGAGTCCTGGCAACTATCATAATCCTTTTGAAATTGTGCATATTAAGATTAAAGATCACTTTGTTCCTCTATTCCCACAACTAGTTGGTATGGTAAAAAGATCAGTCTCCTAGTTTTATATGTAACATCTTTAACATTTGCTCTCCTTTCTGTGCATGTGATTAAATGTAACATTTTGAAATCCCAAAGTTCTGAGAAAAACATAAATCCTTGTCCACAGCTGCTGTTTGACTCTGGAAACACATGCATTTTCTTTTCAAGCATCTACCATCAAAAAATCCCAAAGGACTTGAACTGGAGAACACCTGCATCTCTTCATTTAGTTCCAATAACAGAGCCTAAACTTCAAAATTACAAAAATAGATGCTATGTTCAGCTGCAGTTACATTCTGCCCCTAATTCCCGTGAATAAAAATGCTAAGAGCATGAAATCATTCAGGCAAGCTCTGTCATCGAGAGGATAAGATTTTTTGCACCAGAAGCCCAGTGGGAACTTGATAGAAAACTGGCAACAATTACAGATAAAGTACATAGTGAAATCCTCAGGGAGAGAAAAGGAAATGTAATAAGATAGATGGGTATAATTTTTACACATTTATGTCCAAACCACAAAATGTGAATTGTCTTTAATTACTCCAATATACTAAGCATTTTTATTCATTCGTTCTGTTAAATCTTTCCAAAATACTTTGTATTAGTTTATGAATTCTCTTTACAAGGTTTGGGGTTTTTTTATTTACTAGCATGAGCACTCACTTCAATTAGAACTGAGGACTTAAAAAACATAATTGTTCCAGCTTCAAAATCCAGACTTGATAGGATCCCAAGTCCAAGCAGTCAAAATTAAATATAAAAATATGTCAATGATAAGCTTTTTTAACAGCAAAAAAGAGGGAGCTGGGGGCACACATAGGTGTTTATGCATAAAACCAAACATTTGTAAAATCTCTCACCTCCTTTCAAAGTTTATGTTCCTACTGGAACAATTTTTATGGTATTTTCTTCATATTTGAAGATATGTTTTTTCTTTTTTTTTTCCTTCAGCAGGGGGAGGGGGTGGAGTGATCTTATCTAAATTATAAAATATTGACAGTGGAGGAAAAAATCCAAAAGTTTTTGGAAGTTTGAGAAACATACCACTTAAACAAGAAATACTAACTTGTACGAGGTTGAGTATCTGCTCTTCAGCCTTCATGCAGCTTTCACAAACTAGAGCAGCCTTCCCATTCTCACTTTGCTCCACCGTGTGTGCAAATTTAACACATACGAGCATGGTATTAATACACATACTTTTGTTTACTCCTTATTTCACTGCTGCATTACTGAATATTCATGCTGCTCTCAAAGAAAACTTTATTAATTGCATTTTTTATTTTAGCTCCTCTTGATTTATACGCAATAAAGCTGTCCATACACCGGCTGTGCACACACTCCCAATTATTCAATATGGCAAACTAAATAGATCATAATCAGCCCACCTCATCTACTCAACAGCTGTTCATAATTAAACACTAACACCAGCATTCATTTTGAAATCTCCCTCTTCTCTCAAAGGCCAGGTGAAACAAACAAGGCCTGCTCCAGGGTTAATAAAGCCATGGTTATTTCAGAGAAAGAGTAAGAAGACCTTCCCAAGCCCTGGGGTAAAGGAATAATCTCCTCTCTTGCACTTATTTTATATGCTGCAGTTTCGATAAAGACCAGGGAGCACATCCACCGACTTTTACAACTATGCAGAGAAACCTGGGGCAGTTTTTCATACAACAAAAGTATCCAGTACTAAAATCACCAGCATGCAGATTGGTATTTAAGGTGTAAACAAAATGATATTTACGTTCCATGTCCCTAAATACTTCCTCTGCCATAGGTGGATTGGTTTTCCACTATGATAATGACACTTTGTACATCAAACAGTAAAACACTCTTGCTAAGCAATCGTCAGTATATGCACTTGTTATATGCTTGTTATCCACTATATATGCTACACATCACACACTTGAATACTGCCCTTTCTGAAAGTACGTTTTTGAGTTTTAACTTCGATGGTGCAACATGGTACTACTAGAACCATACTCTTTTCCTTCTTCCTCTCAGCAGCAGCAAGTGAAATAGAAAAAGTAAGATGCTAGTGTAAAATGCATTACCCCTCAAATTATAAATACATTCTCAACCTTTGCAGGAACACATACAGATAAGCAGTAAAAGGAAGTTGCACCTCCATCCTCATCATTCTGGATCATATCATATGACCAAAGTGATACAAGACAGTAGACAGTTGCTGACTCAACAAGGAGAGGAGGAGGTAGAATGATTCCTTACCTGTTCTTCAAGTAAATAAGCCCTGATTTATTCAAGAAGCTAATGCAATTTGCACAACCTCCTACTTAGCATTTTATACCCAAACAGCTGCTCTGATTTTTCAAATAAATTGTTTTCCATTGAACTTAATTAATTAGTTAGATCAAATCCCTATTCCAGAACATTAAATATAACATTATTAAGAAAAGTTTCACAAACGGTACAACTTCAGTAGCGCACAATCACCTCCAGTTGTACAGGCTGAAACAACCCTTTCTTTCCCAAGGCATGAGGTTTTGCTGTGAAAGCATCCAGTACAGCTTTCTTAACTCCTAGAAGTGAGTGCAACTGACAGCAAAAGCATTTTTAGGCTCTCAGAGCACTTCATGTTTTCCCTACCTGCAATTTTCACAGTCATAATGAAAAGGATAGCCATACCTCCTGTATTAAATTGCTCCAGTTGCTTCAACAAGTATTTGAAAGCAAAGGCTTTCATTAACTCCCTGATCCTTCAAACAGAACCTGAGATAACTGAAACATGAATGTTTCCTAGTTTAATTCACATTTAAAAAATACTAATTTTCAGCATGTCATTCTGCCTGTTTACTGGGATGAAAGCTTTAGCAAAACATTCAGCTTTTTCCTCTCATTTGTCATTAGTCACAGGTATCACCTCACAGATCTAGAGGAACAGAGCTAGAGTCTGAACATGCAGGTTAGTGACTGCCACTGAGTACACAGAATCAGTACAACTTTCCTGAGACACTGGTGGGGTGAGTGAAGTGTCCAGTAAATTTTCAGCTCTGAAATCTTTACATTTCCCATGTATCTCCATGCATCTATGAAACAGGTACCACAGACACTGGTCTATTACAAACCAACTTTCTGTTTCTCAAAGTCCCTGCATGTGAGTCTGGCTGGCACTTCATTTGTTGGTGCCTTAATTCTCACAGACACCTCCTGTCACAACCTGTCAAGGACTCTCTACTATCTAATTGGACTATCCATAATACTGGTGAGCCCAGTATGTATGTGATCCCTGTGACTTGTAAGAAAAGCTCTAATTTTACAGTATAGGTAAGTATCCACAGCTCCTTTAAAATGTAATTAAGATTCTAAGACAAAAATCAGAAAATTAAACTGAAAAAAAGGCAAGAAATGCAACAATTAATCACAGTAATAAATATTGTTGTTATGAACATTTAAAAGGCACTTAAGTGAGACAACAGTTGCAACAGATTTTAACTTCTGTTTAAAAATGGATATGAGTAATTCGGACACTGTTGAATCATGAACTGCTTTTTGGCAATGCTTTAGAGGCAGGAACTTAAGATAATTATTATAAAAACACTGCTGTAAACATTTCCAACATGATGCTCTCCAAGAAACATATAAGTACAGTTACTGAAAAAATAACCTAACAACTGCTGGAGAGCACAGTGCTTACAAATATTTACTCTGCGTAAGAATCAAATGTTGCTTACATATGCACATAAATTACAAAGATGGTAATAAATTCACTGTTACTTTTCAGACTAATGACATTCAACAACCATTACACATGAAAAACAACAGAAAAAAATAACACTGTTCAAGTTACCTTTGTGTTTCATAGCACTGGGGTCAGCTAATTCTTTTGCTTTTCTTAACCTCAACACTTTTGAGGCTGTTTTTTCCCCGTTTGATTCCATGCTTAGCATGGCAAAAAAATAAGCTTTGAAAAACACAAAAGCATGATTCTTGAAAAGCACCATACTGACAGCAAAACCCAGTTCCATGCGTATTTCACAAACTATGTAACAGCTATTTTAAACCAGGCAAATTTCAAATTGTCAGTGCTGTTTAAAACAGACCAATGTTTTGTTTAAAGACCACAGAAACCATAAGAATGTCAGGTAAAGGCATTTATGCCCACAAAGTCAACACCATCCTTAAATTTATCCAAGCAACTCTCTGAAATTATTAACTTCTCATTTGAATCCACCACAACACCAAGTTTGATGAGGTAAGATGTGTGCCCTGTAGCACTTTGAAAATCACCTTTTTATTGTTAATAAATTTTATGGTAAACAAATTCTTAACAATAAATTATGCTGTAAATTTATATGAACCATTCTGAATTCAGTATAACAACTACTGCATAAGAAGCTCAACTCAATAACAGGAAGAAAGACTGTAACTGATATTCGACATGGATCCTTCCCCCACCCACTACCCTGCAAAGTTTACTGAAGGCTTCATATAAGTAATTTCAAAGGCAACCAAAGGCAATGAAGCATTCCTTATTGAAGAAGACATACATCAAAATGCAGCTTTTAGGGGTTTTTTTGTCTCACAGTGAGCTAAAGTGAAGTCATAATGTGCGTAGCATGTGAAAAAGATACTTTGACATTTGGCACATTTTATATCAAGCCCCTCTTTAGAAAATTACATTGGATAGGAAAAATGCAATGTGATACCAGCTTAACAAGAGTTTTGTACTTACCAGAATTATGGCAGTAGTCCATACACTGTGGAATTTGGATTGTAAAGGCTACCAAATCTGGAGCTAGCAGAGATTCTGGCTTTCTACTCTCATTGAGCCATTTACTGCTGTGTAAGTCTCTGGTATCAGAAGGGCCTTGAATTAAAGGAATCAGCTTCTCCTTTCCACCGTCACCTAAGATGAAGATTAGAATCCTTACAGCTTTTAATGTAATAAGACAAATTTTCAACACAAACATTCACTAGTCCAAAGAGAACAGCTATTAACATTGTGAGTACAAAGAGGAAGTAGAAGAGCAGTATCATATAAACTACTGAAAAACTACCTTAATGTTTATCTTGTAAATGCCTTGATATCCAGGAGGATTTTAAATAAAGTAATCAATTATCTTAAAAATACTAACTTCATTCCCAATTTTATAACATGATCTAAGATAGATTATAGATGAAACCATGCACTCAATTTAGAGTTACTACACTTTTAATGCTCTTGACATTAGCTTCCTATTTTGTCATAGGCATTCAGAAGTTTCTGCATGTTCTTCCAGCAAAATTCTATTACAGAAATGAAAAAAACTGTTCATCAGGGGCCTCAAAAGCTTCACCAGCAAAGTACATGCTTGTAGCATTAATGGAAAATGAGACATTAAACAATCAACAGAATACATCAATATTTTGTTACAAATAAAGCAAAGTGCAACAGTGTTATTCCTCTTTCTTCAGTGCTTTTAGATCAATATTTGTCTCTTATTGTCTTTATTTTCTTACTCAGTGTAAAAATTGACTGTACTGGGGCCAGACTGGATCATCATGACATACTTAATAATAACAAAAATCCCCAAAACAGAATACAAAAAACCCACTCTGATTCATAGGAACAATGAGTAAATTCTTGTTTCAGTAACTCTCCTTGTAAAATGCAAGGCCAATTCTCCTATACAGGCAATAAAGTTTTACATGGTCCAGCTGCACATACCTGGGGCTTTGGCACAAATTTTTATTGATCCCACGGTCCCAGAGGCACATTTGACCAATGATGTGCTGCAGTACTTCAATTCAACATTCTGGATTGAGCCCTCAAGAGTTGGCAGGGGATTCTTAGATTTCACACCTAATAAAAGAAAACTGCAAATGTACTAGCCTGTTGAATTTAAATATTTTTATATTCCTTCACCAAGGCATTAAAACTTAATTATACTTTAATTATCTACCTTAGATATTCTTACAGCATTTTTGTTGTGATTCACAGTTTTTAAAAGAAAGTGAGAGAATGCTGCATATGGGCTTTTGACTACAAACAGATATGCATGAAATATGTATAGATACCACGAGGAAAAGACACAAGGCCACTTAGAAACTGGAATAATAAATATATATATATACACATATATATACACTTTTCACTTTATAAGGGCCATGTCAACTATTCTCCTTCATGTTTTTATTATGGCCATTTGATTTCAGGATTTTAAAATGACTAAGTGTTTTCAGCCTTCATTTAGACAACAACATTTTACTCAGTAGCAATGTAAAGCATTAAATCCATGCAGCTGAACAGCACAGAAGGCCAACAGCACACTTGCCATTTTTCAACGGAAACTGGAGTTCAAACCTTGCCTTAGGTCACAAGTGGAAATAAGTTTTGGTGGTCTTTCCTCAGCCCCCATGTGTGAGCACCAGAAAACTACTGCACCACTTGGAAGAAATCAGTGCTGTTGGCAGTCACTTCTGAAGAGCTGCCTAGAACCACGGCAGAAGCAGCAGGGGATCTCACAAGCCAAGACTGAGGTATGTTGGCAGAGCTCAAGTGCAGCCCCCCAAAACAGCCCCAGAGCATAGGTGGAGGAAGCCAACCCTCCTATTCTGTACAGCACTGCCGATCAGAAAAAAAACACATAAATTTACTTGCAAATTAGAAATAAATAGTTTCAGCACCTGTAAGAAGTATGAAAGGAAAAACTAACAGAAGTTACAATTTTTTATGGGTTTTTTTCCCCCCTCATGCAGATGTGACTTGGAATTTGTCAGTTAAAATTGGCAAGGAGCTTGCTAATTATGCAAACATTAGTAGAATTATGGAACTGTTTCCTCGTGTGTGTAACATGGAATTTGTTCCAAATTCCATAATTATGCAAGGAAAGTATTATGGAATATCAGGTTAAAAAAAAATTAAAGCAGTTTGATACATATTTCAAGATAGTTACACACATTCAAAAAACTTAATATATTACCTACAGTGTGAATTATTTTTTTGAAAAAATCTCTCAAAGTCTTAACCAAAAGAACAACCTTTAATATATATTAACTAGCAATGAGAAAATCCTAAAAAGGTTATAGGAAACAGAAGATTTAACATTAAACCTGGTAATTCTGCTTAGTTCACTGTGCCTGTTCCAGTTCTTAAACACTGAAGAGTATTTGGCAGCGCACATAAAATCATTTCGCAGACTTCTTGACATGTATTTTTTTCTGGTAAGATATTAAAATAATTTTTTAATAAAAGGTACTTCCCAAGATAGGAAGACAGAAGCTGCATCCAAAGGGACACACAGCACTTCGTAAAGCATCCTCCAGTCTCAAAGCAGATATCACATTCTACGTGTACTTTCTTATCAAAATTAAACCTGTCTTCTGTCTTCAAGGTGTGCCCAGCTTTTCCCTAATTTGCTATCCAGGAAAGCTTCAGGCTCAAAGAATGCTCACTGAAACCCATTTGTGTGCCTTCCAAGACAACACCCCATAGGTACTCAATCTGAAAGATCAGCTACCAGTTTCAGTCCCATGAACAGATCCTCATTCCTGTTCTTGCCCAGGGTAAATTTCTTTTGAAGCTGAAAATCCCCTTTGATCTATGGCATTGATTTGTAAAATGCAGCTAGGATATCTGTAGGCATTTCTGCCTACTCAAACTTCCTGGAAACTTGTGCAAATAGAGGTCATTGTGCTACAAAAAACCCAATAAAACCTGAAATCTGCTTTCTTCATCTTCTGCCTATTCCAAAACAAAGATTATAAAATACTACTAGTACCAGCCAATATTACAGCCAAAGCAAATCCAGTTCATAATTTGACCCCCATCTTTTAAGTCCTCTCAAAATCAGTATCTTCTTGCTGTTTCCATCTTTCAGCAACTCTTTTATGCCTCAAAATACTAGGTGTGATGTCCAATACATTTCTCTCACTTCCATACTGAAGACTAAGTACTTTTAAAACTAAATCATTTTCATAATGGAATCCACTTTTAGAAGCATTACCCTGGACAACTTCTCTTCACTGAGACAAACTTTCCATGTTAGTTACATGCATAGCATACACTTTTAGCATCCTCTCTGAAAACTCTATTTCTGTTCAGTTCTATTCCCTCACCAAAAGACTTCTGCACTCGTTCAATTTCAGCCAGATATGACAGCACTATCAAAGGCATTTATTTTCTATAATCTTCACTAAAACAAGGGTATATTTGTCCTGTTTACTGTCCAGTCATGATATTCATGACCATCAGCAAAGCATAGCTCAAATAAACCAGTGCACTTGTCTTCACCCAGCCAGCAGTTAGGATTCATGATGGGAAGTTCGGAAAGCTTAACAACTTGGCCTTCAAAAAATCCACAAACCCTCAATACATGATCATATCATGAACAATTATATTTCAATTCATATGAAGAAGCAACTGTTGGTAGTAATAAGATATTTCTTTCTAGAACGCCTGTCAGACAGGATGAACACTTCCTCCATTGTTTCCAACTATTCAAAAAGAAAATAGGAAGGTATTAGGAAAACATACCATAATCATGTCCCTCCTTTTCTACATTTCTTTGACACCAAATGGCAACATCATTCTGCTCTCAGCTGTAACACCTAATAACCACAGCACACCATAGTGATCAAGGAGAAGTTTCAAGAAAAAAATTAATTCTGCTCAGCTTTCACAGCTCTGGACTCAGAAATACTCAGAAAAGTCATTTATTATTTACCAAGTCTACAATTACAGAGTCTACAATAAGGAACCTGGGACGTCTAACTAGACTTTCATCAGAGAGACAAAAATCACCTAAGGTGATTCCCCTAGTCAAAGCACAGAAAGTTTAGAAACTTCTGGTGAAGCATTTCTAATGACTGGGATTAATACAGGACCATGTTTTCTCCAGTCTCCGAAAATTTTTGGAAATCATGAACCATCCCTCATAAACTTATCAAACTGGCATGGTGCTCTACAGAGAAGAAAGAAGCCTCGCTTCCTACATGCACTTCTGACAATCTGTAGCTTCCACCTCTGTAACTTTACTTCTTTCCAAATATTCTATTATTTCTTTCATGTTGATAATATCATTATAAAATCAAAGTACTAACAGTTGCACACATAACTAAAATATTCATTTAATACCTATTTCAGCAAAAAAAAAAGTTTCAGCCAGCAAAGACTAGGTCTTCCTTCCCTCCCCACAACGTTTGTAAGCTTTTTAGAAGTAGTGTCTTCTCAAGGGACTGACTGAGCAGGAAGATGTTCAAACTTCTAGATAAGAAATGCTCTATGCCTCCAAGTACTAGCACAAATCTAGTATAGAGACAAACAGACCACAACATTTTAATTAAGACATTGAGTATGAATTTGAAGAGGAACCAGGAAAACCAAGTTTATCATTGCCAACAGCAACATAACACAATGTCATGCAAACGAAGCATTAGAAAGACTTGTTTCCAAGGTGCAAGACAAGAGAGTGGGATTTGTGCTGTAGTCATTCCTTGGAGGGAAGGAGGGAAACATGCCTGCCTCCATCGAACATAACCTATGGCTGCTTCCAGATACAAATTACAGTTTTCTAGATGTGTGATTTTTGTACTGGAAACATCTTGCCCATTGTAGACTGATTTGCAGTAAAAATCCAGTGTTTCTTTCCCAATATGTTACGTTTATGCTTGGTGATCAAACACAGCTTGTTTTACTTGATTCAGACACAGAATACAACACAACACCAACGATCTAAAATGCTGTTCTTTCCACACTGCAGAATCCAAAACCAGGCAGGAACATTTACTAACTTAAAATCTACTACACTTTGACAATTTACACCTTGCACACACTAATTCACTTGAATTTTTACTCCAAGCCTAAAGAGCCATTCTGTTCCAGAAACACGCAAGAACTATTGCACCATTAAGGAAGGCTTCCCCACACTTTAAAGCAAACACTCACATCCTCCCCCTAGTTCTTCTGGTTACAGCTTTGGTCTGTTCCATGAACATAACCCTACCACAGAGACTGCCCTAACTCCTGCATTCAGTGTCATTCTATGTGCAAGCAGGGGGGCATCAAATACCTAAAGGCAACTCACAACTGTGTCTATAGATCAGACCAGAATTTCTGCTAATAAGCCTATTAATGCTGAGCAGTCATTTAAGATCTGTTTAAGAACATTACCTAATTAGCGACTTTACCAATGACCTACACATCTTTTTCCAAGTCATGGTAAGGTGAATTTGCAATGGATTACTGGCAAACCAAGCAACAAAAACCTAAAATGATCAATAAAAAAAAGACAAGAAAGCAGCAGAAGAGCTATGTTACTCATTCTGAGGACAACAGTCAGGACTGTGTGCTGCCAAATCCCTAAAATACAATAAATCATTCTTTAGAAAGATCATAAAAGAGAAAACTGCAAAATATGGAATAGGAAATGAAAAAGGCATGACTAAAACTTCTAGAAGCAACCCCACATGAATTGTCCCCATATTTAGCTTATAACCTCAGAAAGAAAAATTCCATTATTTAAAGCATTAAGTACAACAAACTACAGTTTAGCAACATGATATAGTTAAAGACTGTCACATAGTTGTCAAAATGATTTCAAACTCAGTAAAAAGATCAACCCATTAATAAAAGTAAGGAGCTATTAACCAAATGAAGTAATATTTAGAACTAAGTCTTACTGGAATCAAGGCAAAAAATGTCAAATTATTTTTACAGAAACATATATTTAGGTTTTACATGAATAACACAGAAAAGCAAATAAACAAATTGATGCATATGAGAAACCACATTTCTTTCCTCAGAGATTCTCATTTGTGTTCAGTGCCTGCTTAAGCAGTGGCCTCACTGACAACTTTTGAAAT